ATCAGCTGCCTCCTGCACACCTCCTACTGGGGATGTGCCCACAACCAAGGTACATGCCCTTGACCGAAATTGAACCTGGGACCTTTCAGTCCGCAGGCCGACGCTCTATCCACTGAGCCAAACCGGTTAGGGCCCAGGGCTTCTTTAAAGTGTCTTTTTAACTGCAAAAGTAGTAGAGACAGCCCTGGCTGGTCTTCTCAGTGGTTAGAGCACTGGCCCGGCACCCAAGAGTTGCAGGTTCAATTCCCGGTCAAGGGCATGTACCTCTGTTGCAGGTTCATTACCCCGTCCCAGTCCAGGTGCATGCAGGAGGCAACCAATCAATGTGTCTCTCTCACAGTGTTGCTTCTCTCTCTCTCTCTCTCTCTCTCTCTCCCTCCCTCCCTCCCTCCCTCCTTCCCCCTCCATTCTACTCTCTGAAAATCAATGGAAAAAATATCCTTGGGTGAGGATTAACAACAACAAAGTAATAGAGACACACCATTAAAAAAAAAAAAAGGCAACTATTTCTGAATAAATTTTGAAAGTGTAAGGCCCCTACTCTCTTCTACCTCTAGAGATCACTGCAACCAGTGTGGCACTGTCCAATCTTTCTCTCTGATAAACAAATGAAAAAAAAATGACTCTCCCAAATGGCATCATACTATATAGACAGGTCTTGCTGAATTTCACTTCCAATGGCCAGGATATCTTGTGGCACATACACACTTCATTCTTTTATTGTTGAAAGTAACATACGTCCCCTTTCCGCCCGCCCCTCCCTATTTCATTCTTTTTCTAACAGCTACACCGTGTCCCATAGTGTGGACGTACCCACGTCTACTCAATCCCCTGATGAAGGACACTGAGGTTGCTTCCAGTTCCTCACTCTTCCCACAACAATGATATAGTAAACGTAGTTAAACGTATCTTATAAAACCTGTGAAAATATTTCTGTCCCAAGCATTCACAGAATCGAAATCGTGGGGCAACCTGGCCCCTTCTCGATGATAAATGCTATTGCAAAACTGCCCTCTTCGAGGGCTGTGCCAACTTAAAGCCCCCGAGCAGCACATGGGAGTATGTAGAATGGGTCTTGTTGAGACAACAGAATGCAAAGGGAGGGCCCTTGGCAGGTTCTAGGTGTGGCTTCTCCACTGACTTGCTGGGTCCTGCCCAGTATAGGCCTCAGTTTCCCCCTCTGTACTGAAGGAGCTGGGTTGGCCAGCCGCTATGGTCTTTCCAAGTTCAAGTATGCTATTTGTCTGTGATTCCTCAGGGCCCCAACCAACTTCAAACCCTTCGGACCCATTCAAGAGGCTGCCCAAATGAGGGAAAGTAGTGAAAGGTGGGGAGAAACCTTCCCAAATCCAAGAGCAGACCCCCAAGCCTCGGTCAACGGGCCTTAATAATCACATAGCACTGCCCTAACCGATTTGGCTCAGTGGATAGAGCACCGGCCTGCGGACTGAAGGGTCCCAGGTTCGATTCTGGTCAAGAGCATGTACCTTGGCTGCAGGCACATCCCCAGTAGGGGGTGTGCAGGAGGCAGCTGATCGATGTTTCTCGCTCATCGATGTTTCTAACTCTCTATCCCTCTCCCTTCCTCGCTGTAAAAAATCAATAAAATATATATTTAAAAACAAAAACAAAAAAACAATCACATGGCACAAGGTTTAGTGCCTGAATCTGTATCTAATGAGACCTGGGGTGGGAGGGTGGGTGCTATAATGTATTCGTGCTCCACTCTGGGCTTTTGTCTTTTGGTTCAGAAGTGTCTCCCTCCTCTCTGGAATGAATGTTTTGGTGTAATAGAGCTGGAAGCAGCCCTGGGGCCATCTAACACAGTGGATTTTAAATGTGTTCCTTGCCGCCCCGGTTCCTGGCCAGGTGTCCTCATGTCCACAGTGGCCCCCTCATCTCATCCAGACTGTGCCACTCTGTATATGAGGCGCTTCTGAGCAGACGCTCACTCAGGGAATCCACAGCAAAAGCAGACACAGGCTGACATTCCCATGTTACAGCAGGGAAACTCAGGCCAGGGGGAGAAGAGGCCGGTCAGGTGACAAGTCAGCAGCTAGGTTCTTTCCACCGTTTCTTTCAAATTAAGATTCTAGTTACTGGACGAGAAACCAGCCAGTGACTCACTGTGGGAATCTGGGCAAGTCACTTCCCCTCGGGGGCACTGGTGTCAACATCCCCGTTCCACAGGTGGAATGCACCGCGCAGAGGGCCTGCTGGAAGTGCTGCCCAGAGCACATCCACGCGGAAGCCCTTTGAAAATGGGGTGTTATCATCATCTAGGGTTTTAAAAGTGAAAATCTTGGAAGACCGACTGCCCCAGCACTACCAGAATTCTGTTCGCAGCTCCGTCATTACTTCATGGAGCCCCAGGGCCAGCCCTCAGCCCTCTCTGGGCCTCAGTTTCCCCAGCTGAGAGTTGAGGGAGCTGAATGAGAATAAAGGTTTTCTAAATGTGTCCAAAAGAGGTGCTTTAGGAGTTCTACACATGACTGACTCAAAGAAAATGAAAATGACACTCAAATGTGTCATATAACCAAAGTGATCCCAGTGGAGATCACCAACATACTAACTAGTACTGACAGGGCTCTGGAGCTGGACGGCAAGGCCAAATCCCAGCTCTGCCACTTACTGGCTACTGGCTGTGTGATCCCAGGCAAGTTACCCAACCTCTCTGAACTTCAGTTCCCTCCTGCTATAACAGAGATAGTGTAAGAAGCTACCTAGCCCTAGCTGGTTTGGCTCAGTGGATAGAGCATTGATTCCGGTCAAGGGCATGTACCTGGGTTGCAGGCTTGATCCCCATGCAGGAGTCAACTAATCCATGTGTTTCTCTCTCTTTTTGTCTCTCCCCCCTCCCTTCCACTCTCTCTAAAAAATCAATGGGAAAATATCCTTGGGTGAGGATTAACCAAATAAAAAAAGAAGCTCCCTAAATGGTAGTGAGGGTGAAATGAAAGCCAGTAAGCAGAGTACCTGGCACATGCTAAGCACTCAGTACATCTTAGTTGTACTGTTATTATCAGCTTCAACCCCAGCTTCTCCTGCTCCATGTCTGCATGCATTTGAACACAATATGAAGTTTATCGGCCTCCCCCACCTCACCCCCAACCGAGGGCCGCTCACTCACCTCCTAGCTTGTTGAGGACCCGAGCGGCTGCGTTAGAGCAGCCTTCACAAGTCATGTCTACAAAGAACTCGTGCTTCTGAAATAAACAAAGGGGACCATGAGCCAAGACCTGCAGGGAGACCCACATACCCCATCAGCATGCAGGCCCATTCACGGGCCAAGACACGGGGCAAGGTCTGGCCGTCGTCAGACTCACTCATCGCCTGTTTCTGGGCCCCCCACTCTTCAAAATGGAGTAACTAAGGATTTCTGTATCTCACAGGCTGCTGCACTAAGTGAGATAATCCCTACAACTCCTTTAGCAGTGCCTGGCACTCAATGAGTTCAATCAGCTAGGAAGCTAGTTTAAAGTGTCAGTTTCTGCCTGAGCTGGTTTGGCTCAGAGGATAGAGCGTTGGCCTGCAGACTGAAGGGTCCTGGGTTCAATTCCAATCCAGGGCACATGCCCCGGTTGTAGGCTTGATCCCCAGTAGGGGGCGTGCAGGAGGCAGCTGATAAATGGTTCTTCTCTCTCATCATTGATATTTCTCTCTCTCCCTCTCCCCCTTCCTCTTGAAATCAATAAAAATATATATATTTTTTAAAAGTGTTGGTTTCTAGTCTCACCTTCAAAATCCTGATTCTTGAACTAGGGGGCCATCTCAGGACCATCGACTCTGACATGGGTGGACGCCCATCCTCGGAGCCATGCTGGTCTGGTGGTCTTATTTATGCATTGAATATCACCTGCATTAGAATCACCAGGGAGCTTGCAAAAACTATAGGTTCTAATCAGCAAGTGTAGGCTGGGGTGTCTACAAGGGCTAGGAAGCTCCCCTGGTGATTCTGATATACAGTGAACACTGCTCTCATCCAAATGCCTCATTCTCAGAGGCAGCCCCTAAAGCCTGGGGAGTGGATTTGCACGGGCTCCCAGTGAGTCGGAGGGCAGACCAAGGAGGGAACCCCGGCTCCTGGCTGCTTCATGCAGGCCTGACACCCACAATCTCCATGATATCCAACGCACTGAGCTCCCAGAAGACAGAGACTTCGTCCACTTCACTGCTGCATCCCCAACACAGGCACCGCTCAGAGATATTGCAAGTTTGACTCCAGACCACCACAGTATGGCAGGTGTCACAATAAAGCAAGTTGTGATCTTTGCCTGGAAAGGGAGCTGGTCACCTTATTTTACTCAGAAGGAAACTGAGGTTCCCAGGGGTTAGACTGCCCACAGCAGTGGTTCTCAACCTTCCTAATGCCGCGACCTTTTAATACAGTTCCTCATGTTGTGGTGACCCCCAATTTCATTGTTACAAATTGAACATAATTAAAGCATAGTGATTAATCACAAAAACAATATGTAATTATATGTGTGTTTTCCGATGGTCTTAGGCGACCCACAGGTTGAGAACCGCTGGCCCACAGTCACGTGGCAAGCATGTGCTGAGGCTGGGATGTGAACCCAGGCTTTCCTGGCTCCAGGGACATCCTGTTGGTTCTGGACCAGCAATCAGCACTGCTACCTACCACTCTCCCCCTCCCCCCTCCACACCCTCCCCCTGGAACCCTGACTCTTAGCAGGAGCTCTGGGAGTGGGCACACCTTGTGAGGTAGCATGAGTTTCTGCTGCCCAAGGGTCTAAATCACCAGATATCTGAAGCTTTCTTCTGCAGACCACAGACAGGTCTCCTTTCATCCTCACAGTGCAGCGGCCAGAAGCCAGCAGGAGGCTTCTGGGTGGCAAACATGACAACCCAGTGTTCTCCCCCTCCACTTGAAGTGCAAAAGTAAATTTGGGGGTGGTGGAAAATCTAACGGGTAGCATACGCCATTCTTCACAGAGAATCCCAAGACCGGCCCACCCCCAAACGCTTGACTTTGCGCAGTTCCAGCCCCTCAAAGCCTCTGATCTGTCACCTGAAAATGGGTCCTTTAAAGTCGATGAAAAAAATCCAGTAAGTTGTACAACTCTTTCACAGAATCTCAGAACTGGGAAGGCGGGACTAGAGTGGGGTCACATTGTCCAGCTCCCCTCCCAGAAGGAATTCTTTCTCAACTCTCCAAGACAGTCAGTCTTTGAACACCCCAAATCCTGGGAGCTTACTACTGGTAATACTTGAGTGCCTCCTCTGTGCCAAACATCGTTCTAAGCACCTTCCGTGAATTACACCGTTTAATCATCACAAGAATCCCATGAGTTAATCACTATAATTATCCCTTCCTGACAAATAAGAAAATTGAAGTTCAGAAGTTTGGCCACTCACTCAGTGTGACATAGCTAGCGAGTAGCAGGGCCTACACCCACCGGACATAGTCTCCAAAGCCTAAACTTAACCCCTGTGGTCCTTGTGTTAAAATGGGGTTTGAAATCTGCCTGCCTGTAGTTCTACCCTACTTGTCCCAAATCTACACAAGAGCTACCATTTCTTGTGGACTAGCTATGTCAGTGGCTGTGCAACCATTTTAGTGGCATTTTTCCAGTTAACACTAACAACACTCCTGAGAGGTCAGTGTTTTTTGTTTGTTTTGTGTGTGTTCTTTTAAAAATGTATTTTGATTGATTTCAGAGAGGAAGGAAAGGGAGAGAGATAGAAACATCAATGATGAGAGAGAATCATTGGTCGGCTGTCTCCTGCACAACCCCCACTGGGGATCAACCCGGGCATGTGCCTTTGACTGGAATAGAACCCGGGACCCTTCAGTCCGCAGGCTGACGCTCTATCTACTGAGCCAAACCAGCTAGGGCCTGGGAGGTTAGTTTTTATTCCCATTTTACAGATGAGGAAATCAAGGCGCAGAGAAGTAAAGCAGCTTAACTGAGATCATCTGATTGGCAAGCAGAAGCACAGATTTTCAGAAAGGTTTCTGAGATCCCAAGTGCTTGGGAAACCTCTCGGGTGACAGTCCTCCGCCTCCTTCCTTCAGCTGTTCATCTCGTGACATGGAACCAAGTGCCCTCCATACCGGTCATCCCTCTGAAGGGTCTTTTGTTTGTCAAAATCCCCAGAAGTGAACACAGAATAGTGATCCCCCGGCTGGCCTTCCTCTCACTGCCACGCCCCTCAGAAACCTGGTGGCCTCCACGATCCCGGTCCCAGGGTGATTAGTGCTGTCCGCTAACATTTGCTCAACTGGGAGGGCTGATCCTGTCAGGCTCTTAGTCCATACTTTGTGTTGTCTGAGGATTTGTCTCAAGGCACCTGCCAAGACCCAAGGGAAATGACACCTGAGATGTTTGTGGCTGGGCCCAGGGGGCCTCTGGCTCACCTGCCTCTTCCCCAAAGCTCAGCTGCTAAGACACAGGGCATCTGTGAGACACCTCTGAGTGCTCGCTGGGGGCAGAGCGGAGAACTAGGCACCATGGGGGGAAGTGCTGAACACCACATGACCCAACCAGGATCCCTAGGATGCAACTGGGATCGAATCTTCCTCCCTGGCCAGCGTGACTACTTCTGTCTGCGCATGGCCAGGCCGGAAGAGACTGGGAATCTGAAGATAAGGGGATTAATGCTGGCTTCATCCGACTCCCAAGACCTTGAGTAAGTTACGGGCTTTGGTGTTTTGTTTTTTGTATTTGCAAAAGGCCTTAATTTCTTTCTTTTTTTAAATTTTCAAATTATAAGAGAAAGTTTATTTAGAAAGTTACAGAGGTAGTAGGAGTGAGCCAGCTGGGCTTCTGAAACAAGTTACAGAAGTAAAAGAAGGGCCCTTGGAGCTTAGGAGAGAAAGGTAGGGGGCCTGAGGGGAGAGGGGGGATGAAGAAAGGGACGGGAAAAGGGAAAGTGAGCCAAAAGGCCTTAATTTCTTTTTTTTTTTAAGTTTTAAAAATCGATTTTTAGAGAGAGGAAGGGAGAGGGAGAGAGAGAGAAACATCAATGTGAGAGCGATATGTCAATCGGCTGCCTCCTGCAAGCCCCCTACCAGGGATAAGCCCGCGACCGCATGTGCCCTGATCAGTAATGGGTCCAGCAATCTTTTGGTGCCAGGGAGTCGCCCAACCCACTGAGACACACCGGCCAGGGCATGATCTTAATTTCTTATCTACAAAATGAGGCCAGGAGCAACCTGAAATATGCGGAAAGGCTGAGTGAGCTGCACAGACCAACGAAGACCTGCTCATTCCTTCCCAACTCTGCCACTGAGCAACTGGAGACTTTGGGAAGGTCCCTGACCCTCTCTGGGGCTCATGGGTTCAAGTTCAGAAAGTGGTAAAAGTACTGGGTCCATTCAGTGTCTCCCTGTACAGAGTGGGCGGGGAAGGGAAGAAAAACACGGACCTTTGAAAACCTGCCGCGTCCGAAAGGCAATGGCCACCCCCCCCCGCCCGCCCCTGTTTCCCAGCCAGCTCCCCGGACAGGCGTGTCCAGGTCGGGGGCGCAGGGACCGGGACCCGGACCGGGACAAGGTCCGGCTCGCCACCCACTCCCGGGTGAGCTCGGGCTGCTCTCTTTCCCCGTCTCTGCAGGGAAGGACTGGGCTTGTAATCGCTGGAGGCCTTGCAGTTCCGATGCTTTGCAGCCTGACTTCCACATAAAACCCCTTTCACATTCCATTTCCCGGAGCGGTGCCGAGGC